CAAAGTCGTTCGAAATAAACCCCATTCAACCATCGTCGTATGAATCCATCAGCGAAGATCTTTAATCCTCATCCAAATCTTAACTATTCATTTAGCATCCCCGTAAACTGTCTAACGAAAGCCGAAGAAAACATCTTGAAAGCAGTAATACAAGAGTGGACAAATGTATTCAGTCTTGACTCTCTACTAAACAATTGGTCCGAATACCGTAATAAATCAGCATTACTGATGAACCCCAAGAAAAACATATCCCTTCTTCTTTTAAATGTTGCCAGCTTGAAACGTTATTTAGTAGAAGTCTTCAACCTTATTCAATCCACATTGTCTCCGATTATTATTCTCAATGGAATTTATCATGATCCTGACACAATTAAACGATTCTCGTCTCATTTCTTTAATTACAACATATTTACGTCAAAGGGCACAAACAAATTTGGCGGCGTCCTGATTGCAGTGCACAAATCAATTCAATGTCGTCGTCCAGAAGAATTTACGCGTATAGATAATCTGATTGTGCTTGAAATCAGTTCAGGTGCCGATCTTTTTCAATTAGTAACATGCTATTCACCACCTGAGGAAAAAATCCCACTTAAAATCTTTGATCGTATTCTTCATATCAATCCGAACACGATCTTCACTGGTGATCTCAATGCTAAACATAAATCATGGTCAAAATCGGTGGAGAACCCAAAAGGCTACTCCTTATTCAACTGGTTATCTTCTCCTGGTACTCACTCATCGTTGGAAATTATCAATAGATACTTAATCACCTCCACGCGCTCAGATGCAACAATTGATCTCATCATTGCTCCGTCCAAATTAGCTTCCACTTCATTTTCTGGTCTCCAATCTATCGGTAGTGATCACTATCCTGTCGTATGGGAACTTCCATTAAAAATTATTTCTTCTCATCACAAAATTTCTATCAAGCGAACGAATTGGAAAGCATTTGAGCTTTTCATAACAAGTGTTGGCAACTACTGGCAACAATTGGCAGAGCTGATGAACCACTCAGCTACCTTTTTCTCATTATACGAACGATTTTTGTCACTTTGCCTGGCTCGTTTTACTACAATTACACAACGCCATGCGTACAAACCATCTCTTCCGCATCACATCGTCCAAATGATTCAACAAAAGCGCATATATCTTCAGGCTTTTCGTCGCACTCGTCATCCGTATTTCTCGTTGCTATTACACAACATGACAAAACAAGTCCACCAAGTATTATTCCAGCATAAAAGACAACTATGGTTAAATTATTGCAATACGTTGAATGATTGTGACACAAAATCATTCTGGAAGAAAATCAAACGGCACTTCAAATCTGGTGCAGTACCTATCGATGGTTTTGTGTGCAACAACAACATCATTACTGATCCAATAGAAATGTGTTCCATGGCCAAGGATCATTATGAAGTTCAATTTGCAAACCATCCTCCTGATCATTCGGAAATTGAAAAAGAAGCAGAATATATTAATGCGGAAATTGAAAATGATTTGATAAGAAATCCTCCTCCACCCATCATTATCAACTTCCTGGATTTAAAACGTGCTATTTCATCACTTAAGAATAAAAATTCGACTGGGGTTGATGGTGTTTCAAACAGGATAATTAAGAATCTACCATCAAATCATCTATCATTTATTTCGCAATGTTTCAACAACTTCGCTTCGTTGTCGCAAACCCCGCCTCAGTGGCATATAGCTAAAATGATCCTATTATCCAAATCAAAAGCAAGGACAATCTCCGTAGATGAAACTAGACCAATTTCGCTGTTACCCTGTTTTTCTAAATTGTTTGAAAAATGCTTTTTGCTTCACTTTCGACAATGGATTAAGGACCAAGGTTTACTTCCGGACGAGCAAAGCGGTTTTCGTCCAGGACATAATATGGCAGTACGGTTAGTGGCGATTGTGGACCAGATTGGGCAAAGTCTGTCAAAGCATACAGCTGCCGGCGGTTTATTTGTAGATTTTCGCACAGCATTTAACCAGTTGTGGTTCAATGGGTTATGGCTCAAATTGACGAAATTAAATTGTCCTATGAAATTAGTTACTTGGTTGCGCCATTATCTATGTAATCGAAAAGCGTTTATCGACATCAAATCATCACAGTCCACGGCATTCATCCTAGAAAAAGGGGTTCCGCAAGGTAGTGTGATGGGTCCTGTTCTATTTATAGTCTATCACCACGATCTGATCGAGTCGCTGTCGACTATCCACTGGAAACATCTATTTGCTGATGATTTAGCCATCTTATTTGCACCCGATTCATCATTAGCTCCATCAAAAATGATCAAAGATATAATTGAGCAAATGATGAAAGTCCTCAATCGACTCATCGACTATTCAAAGTATTGGAAACAACCAATAAACTTTAAGAAGACGTATTGGATGTTGTTCAACAGACAGGTTGCACCGAAAGTACCTGAAATTATTTGCCAAGGACATCATATCGACAAAGTAAACAGATTTAAATATCTGGGCACCATTTTGGACGAGAAACTCTCGTTCAACTCACATATCGATTACATTAAATCGAAAATCAATTCCAACCTAAAAATCTTCAAACGTTTAACATCAACCAGAATGACTAATGAGAAAACAAATCTCAAATTGTTTAATGCATATATCCGACCCTACTACCAATCCCTGCTCAATATCTATCCAATCTTATCGACCGGAAAGAAAAATGAATTAGAAAGTCTAAACCGCAAAATCTTTCGGATTGTCTACACCTGGCATGATGCCAGGAATGTAGAAATCACAAATATGACAAAATATCGATCGATAGCTGAACTTACGGCAACGCACTGGGCTAAATTGACAAATACAATCATAAGAACAAATCCTAGTGTCATCCAAGATTACTTACAACACAAGATGTCAATCCTATACATACACGAATATTTAAACAATCCCACACTAGCGAAAGAAAGAAGAACCATCTTCGAAAGAGGCAGAATTCGCAAATACATCGTAAATCTAATAAAGAATAACCGAATGTCTCTCTTCGACCATACCCTGTCCTATCCCTGTTGACCAATTCTGACGCAACCAACTACGACTTTCCATATGTTGGCTATATCTTTCAATAGCATTACTCAAAATCAATCCCAGTCTACGCATCGATCCTCGCGTAACACCTTTCTATTGCTCCTCCTTCTTACTCTCCTTGTCGCCTAGTCGGGGTATTTAACCTGTTATTTGTTGTCTTTTTTNCGAATGTCTCTCTTCGACCATACCCTGTCCTATCCCTGTTGACCAATTCTGACGCAACCAACTACGACTTTCCATATGTTGGCTATATCTTTCAATAGCATTACTCAAAATCAATCCCAGTCTACGCATCGATCCTCGCGTAACACCTTTCTATTGCTCCTCCTTCTTACTCTCCTTGTCGCCTAGTCGGGGTATTTAACCTGTTATTTGTTGTCTTTTTTTCTCTTTTCAAATTGGTTTTTTTTTTATGGGCTACAGGAACGAGTTCGCTCATAGCCATGGGATCTTTTTCTTTTTTTTCGAAAACATTATCCCTTAATAAAAGCTCTATATTATTATTATTATTATTATTCGATCGATTTCTTACCCCGAATAGTTTTGGCTACAAGTTGACATGGTAAAAAATGTCAAGAAATTGAAGAAAACTAGAAATGTTGATACTCGTAAAAATTTTGGCGTTTGTAATTGCACATTCAATCATTCGTCTATTTCGTTTGTAAAGTATGTTATCGGTTACCGTTACGACTCCAAGTTTTTTTTTGTGTCTATAGAAATATCAATACTGTGCGGAGATTTGACATCACCTAATTAAAAGATATTTAAAACAAAATAGTTTGAATAAAATTTATTTCACCAAAACACTTTACACTGTTGAGACCAAAAGTAAACGAATTATAAATTATACTGTCTAAGTATTCGACGACGTTATGAATGTTGATCTGATCGATGAATCAAATTTCTATATAACCTTGTTTTTTCACGCAGTTCTCAGTTAGAGACGAAACCAAGGATAGAGAAGATGAACAAAAATTGCATGAAAGCAACCAAAAGGGCAATGATAGATACCTTTCAAGAAATTACCATCGTGTATTTTATATTTTGAAATCAACAGTGCATTCGTCATATATCAAATAATAGCAATATTAATAAAACAAATAAAACGCATTCAATGTTCTCCAAATAACAATTTGAATCAATAGTTTCTAAATTAAAATGTATAAAAACGGAACGTTGTTCGTATTTCCAATTCACATCTATAAGTCATTTTCTAAGCATGCTCTGCTCTCATCAGTATATCAGACTAATATATCAGATTGCTGGTATTTTGATATAATTCATATTGTCATAACGCTAAATAAATCAGTATAAGAGAACTTTTTCTTCGTATCCATTGTTGTTGACAACTATATATATATACGGTATATACACTGAATCTGTTGGCCATGATCTTATAATCAGAAGAGTACGCACTGATAAAACTGCGCTTCCCCTTATTTCCTTCTCTATGCTCGGCCATCAGAAAGAAGAAAAGGAAGGAACGAACGAAGGACACTCAGCATAGTAACCGTACTAAAAGAAGTAACAAAGGACATACAGATCGTCATTGCGGCAACGTTCTATCTCTCTTCTGCGTAACCCTACTAAGAAACACTGGAAGGAACAGATGATCTGTTCCTAGCAAAGAGAGCTTTTATTGCGTCATATGATCCAGATTACTCGTACTCCAAGAACGACGCGGAGAAAAGAGGAAGAAGAAATGAAAGGTCACGAGAACGAGGTGAAGGGCAAGCAGATTTACTGATAACAATAACACATCGTGCCAATCTACGATTGTACATTTCGTCTTTTCTTCTCATGAACCAATAATGACCTTGATATATGCTTGTCGTCCGCTCTCCTCTCTAATTATGAGTTCTCTCTTCTTGTCTTCTTTGCTACTTTTCATATACAACCACTGTCTCCTTTCTTCCTTTCCATTCGCACTTAAATATCAGCCTCTCATCTGACACACTCAAATTTGAGAGATTTATGTATTAAATGAACGTCAACAACAACAATTACCAAATGAGAAGGTGTTATTATTCCATATAAAAGTCTACAGGCATCTTCAGTAGTCTTGGCCCCCCATAAAAAATGGGACGATGCGGTTTTGGATCGATTATTGAAGACTAAACAATTTTACAATACAGAATGCATACCCCTTACCTCGTATCGATGATACTTTAGGTGCATTACAACAAGCTCAGTTCTTCTCAACGCTCGATCTCTGATCTGGCTACTGGCAAGTGGAAATGCATGAAGCTAGTAAACCACTTATGGTATTTGTTACTCACAGAGGTCTTTCTGAATGTACAGCTATGCCCTTTGGTCTCACAAACACTTCGGCAACGTTTCAAAGATTAATGGATATTGTATTAGCAGGACTTAAATAGCAATGTTGCTCGGTATATTTAGATGATATCATTGTATTTTCTGCAACGTTTGAACAACACCAAAATGACTTCCGACGCAAGTCTGACACTAAAGCCTCGAAATGCAATTTTTGCCTTCCTGGAGTCAAATGCCTGGGACGCTTAGTGACTTCTGAAGATATTAAATCAGATCCTGCACTTGTCGAAACTGTCGTTGAATGCAAGCAAACAAGTACAATTAAAGACGTTCATGCTTTTCTATGACTCGCCGGTTATTATCGATGTTTCATTAAAAACTGTGCACAAATGCCGGAGCCTCTTCTGAAATTATTAAGATATAATCAAAACTCAACATCATGTTATCTAATAGAGTGGAACGATGACTGTGCCACAGTATTTAATACGTTAAAGCAACGACCAGTATCACTACCTATGATGCAAGCTTCAAACTTTTCTTATCCATTGATACTGGAATTAGACGCATGTGAATACGGCATTGGATGCGTACTTACTCAAAAATATGACAAACACAAGTATGTGATTGCATATGCAAGCCGAACATTCAACACGGTCGAAAGAAATTACAGTGCAGTTGAACGCGAAGCTCTCGCCATAGTCTGAGCAACCAAACATTTTAGACAATATATAGAAGGAGGACCAGTCCTGGTTCGTTCTGACTGCAAAGCTCTCCAGTGGCTGAAAAACACTCGTGATCCAACTGGTCGATTAGCACGATGAGCGATGAAACTTTCTCAATATAATACAATTATACAACACTGATCAGGCGCAAAGAATCCAAATGTAGACTTTATGTCACGATATCCAATCAATCCGCTAAACAACGAATTGCCAGAATTAAATTCAATTGAGTACAGTATTAATATTTTAGAAGACACCAATATACTTGATAATATACAAAAAGAACAAGAAAACGACCCACGATTACAAGCAATAATTTAAAAAATTAATTCAGAACCAAGCAAAACATGCACCATATGTATTAGTCAACAACTTACTATATAAAGTACGCCATTTCAATACTTATACAGATCATCGAATTTTAGGGAACAAATATCTTCTCGTTATATCAAAATCACTACAACAACCATTATTACAATTAGCTCACGACCACCCAACAGTCGGGCACGCCGGACGATTGAAGACATTACATCGATTATCATCGCGAGTCTATTGGCCCTTAATGAGAAATGACATATTCAACTATATACAATCTTGCTCAACTAGTCAACAATATAAATACGATAATTCACCAAAAGCAAATCCAATGCAGTTACACACTGTTTTACGACCATGGCATACAATAGGTATTGCTATTATGGGACCGTTTCCCCCAACGTTTCGTCAAAAACGATTCTTGTTAGTCATCGTTGATTACTTCACTCGGTGGGTGGAATTATTTGCAGATACGGTGCTCCAATTTACATATTATCAGATAATGGACCACAATTTATATCAACCTTATTTAACGAAGTATGTAAAGATTTAGGCATTACACGCAAATTTACAGCCAACTACCATCCTCAAACTAATATGACAAAACGAGTAAATCGTAATCTCAAAACTTTAATCGCCATGTATACTCAAAAGAGTCCCGGGTTATGGGATAAGGAACTTCAAAAATCTGCTTTTGCCATCCGAATGTCCATTAATGAATTAATAGGGAATACACCAGCATACCTAAATTTTGGTCGGGACCCTCTGATGACACCCCTTGATCTTCTTCTAAATAAACCAACAACGAACACATCAGTAATTACACCTGAGTACAAATTTCTACAACAATATCGCTACGAATTGGCTCTAACGTTACGTAACACATATGAACTGGTCCGTGAATATTCACTGGTTCAGAAATTTAGCCAGAAAAATAAATACAACAAGCACACAAGTCAACGACAATTCTTTGTAGGTGACCTAGTATGGATTCAAATTCCTACTCCTCAAATTGACAATACGATTGGTACAATTACCTCGAAATAATGTTGTCCATCCAACATCGGGCCTAGTTTTTCAATACCTGAACCAATATGCTCCAGCAGACAATGTTATATCATTTACTGTCGCAATACCTCTTACCCAAGACATGTGCTACTTACTTCCATTGCATACACTACATAAAATACCACAGTGTGGCTACGACCCCTCTAGATCATCATCTAATGTTACAACACGCCATAAACGTCTTATTTCCATTGGAATATGATCAGCAGCTCTTACAATGTCAACTGCAAACTATGCACATTTAACACAAATTGAACACGATATAGAAATGATCACCAAAGCGTTACCCAAAGTCGATTCAATGTCAACAGAACTTCCTCATTTTCAAGCCGGCGAATTAGAACTGGCGCCAACACTTAACCATACACAGAGTGCTCTGAATCGCACTATAAACCTTATAAATCATCATCGAATCACTGTTGAACACCTAGGTATATTTGCGAAATACCTAGACAACCGACTATCTACTTTTATTCACTCAGTTGAATCTCATTTTTTACACACTGCTATTACGGACATTCTCGCGAACAGGCTTAATCTCAACTTCATACATCATCGTGACTTGAACAAAGTGGCAAAACATATTGCAACTGCAACTAATGTTAACTTCACTGCTGAAAACTTGGGGCCAGCATTAATTGAATTCCTTAGCCACCTCTTAATTCAACAAACAATTCACTTTGTACCAAAAACACCATCGAACCAAACGGAATCGACTCTCGGAACACTTTCAATATCTTCTTTCTTTGCCGATACCAAATATTTTCTGTACCTTTTTACTGGTACGGAAAACGCATTCGTTTAGCAGACTTACCAGTTGCTGTTGGCATCGATTATGACAACTCTCAACTCATTAAATGGACAGAGTCCGATTACTCTACTTGCAATTTCAATTTTATGTCTGTTTGTCGAGAAACTCCCCCCAATTATAACAAAATGGGACAAAACTTGCTTATTCCAAATACTTAACGATTCTACTGTATCCGCATGTCGCACAGAACCGTGTAATGATGACATATTTTATCGTCAAATAGGATCTTAATGCATCATATCTTCAACACGCGTACAACGATGCAACTTTGCCACAGCACAAAAGATTAATACACCTCAACCCATTCAAAGCACGGGCCGAACACTGCTTTCAGTTACATTAATCACAATTCCACCAAAATCAACCCTTCTATGCGATCAATTTAATATACCCGCTTCCCTCGAGGCTTCTAATTCACTGGTCACTTTATGGGACTTTTCATTGACTAATCATACGTATGGAGAAAAGTTCGATCTAACACCGTATTTGCAAAATGATACCCGATGGTCGAAAATGCCTTTTATACCAAATGAATTACAAGAAGTAATCAATTTTATTTTCCAAAAACCTTATCTCTTTCCCTATGATCTTCTCTCCTCTTCTACATACATCTATTATTTTCATCTGATGTATCCAACTTAGAGATGTTGATATATTTATCCTCTTTTATGGTATGATACCAGGATGATATCAACATAAGAAACATATATTTATGCATAATATTCTTATGATCTCTCTCATGCTTATGATAGATGAATTCTCTCTGAGAAAACCTATGACCGTATGATATTCTACCCATTTACTCAACGGGTGATACCTATGGATTATAGATAGTTAATCATAGAGTTTGGTATTTTTCTGTAGCGTGATACTGTATGTACCAAGAACTATAAACGGACGAGGGAAAATACAGTAAGGTTGCGATTTCTTTGGATAAAATAAAGTATATACCTACTACATCTCACTTTTCTTGTCTGAAATCGTCACAAATAAATGGTCCACTGAAGTTCTTCTCAAAGGCATTTCACAATTTCTTAAAGATTCTGCTTTTAAATAATACTGATCCTACAACTTGGGACGAATTCGTCAAGCGTTTTTTAGCACAACAAGAACATGAATGGGATGAATGTAAACAACATGAAAATGAAACAATAAATGAGTTCATTGTTCGTCTCCGTTCATTACGGCTCGAACAAAAGCCTGACCAAGACGACGACAACTTTATAAAACATTTGTTCTGGAAAATGCGAACCGATATGTTAACATTAATGAGTGCGAATCGCTCATCAACGTTGACAGAAATAATTAAAGAAGCTCAAAAAGTCGAAGAAATATTATATTTAAGAAACAAAGAAGCTCGCATGAGTTGCCTAATTCGACTTATATTATAAATGGACATCTGATAGACTAATCTCGGTTCGAATAAAAAATAGATGTATATCTATATAATCCTACACGCTTAGGGATAGATACGGATAGATTTAGTTATACCTGTGTGTACCGATGGACATAGGCTGACATATAGCTCGGTTGAGAGTATTCCTGAGACTATGCCTAACAAAGTCTATCGCTATCTATTCCTAAGTATGTGCAGGAGTGTATTAGGAATTCGTCACTTATATTATAAGTCGAATTAGGCAGCTACTCAAAAAATGTTGTCGAGGGAACAGAGCGATACGGTTTCATACGCAATACAGCACACTCTCACAAGTGACGGTAGATAGACGAAAAATTGTTTACTCAATTTGAATAAAATATGATGAGAGTTGATATTCATGAAAAGAGAATGTCATCAATTTTGATTTCGAAAAGAAATATTTTTGTTCTACCAAAATCAAAGATTCAATTAATGATAAGAAAAGAAAAATAAATTTGTTTGACATTCGAATACACGTCGTTCACATTCAACAACTGTCTAACGGATATTGAAATGCAAACACTACAACAAGTCGATCTTGAGGAAGATTTCATCAATGTTAATAAGGAAAATGCAACAAACACGTTTGTATTTTCACTTTTCACATTTATTTCTATTCAAAAATCATTTTTATTAAAGATTCTTCCAATCTACAACGAAACGAATAATCATATTTGGTCTGTTCACATGTTTAATCATGTTAATTGGTATTCTCATTGTTTGTTTTACCTCACCAAAACCATCAAGTAAGTTTTCCTGAGAGAAAACAAACTCCTTGTTATTTGTTCGTTTAGATGAAACATGCAAATATCTTCTCAAATCAGAATCTCAATATTTAATCAAAACTGATTCTCAACCAACTTCCATGGCCATTGGTGATTTTAATAATGATGGTTTAAATGATTTTGTCACTTCAAATTCTGGTTCAAATACGATTCAAATATTTCTTGAACAGAACGACAATTCAATAACATATTCAACTGGTTCGAATTCCAAACCAAATTCAATTACAATTGCTGATTTTAATCAAGATCAAACATTGGACATCGCTGTGGCAAATTTCGGTACAAATAATATCGGAATTTTCCTTGGTCAAGGAAATGGAACATTTATCTCTTGGAAATCAATTTCTCTTGGAAAATCTCGTCCACAATGGATCTCCAATGAAGATTTAAATAACGATTCATTCATTGATTTAGTTACAGTGAATCATGGAACAGATGATATGACAATTTTCATAGGCAATGGAAAAGGAGATTTTCAGAAACATTTGTCTTTATCAACTGGTTATGATTCTTCTCCGCATTCATTGATGATCAAAGATCTCAATAACGATCAGTATTTCGATTTGATCGTTACGAATTCTGGAACGAATCATATTGGAATTTTCTTTGGAAAGGCGAACGGAACATTTAATGATGAAATAATGTTAAACACTGGTGTTAATTCTCATCCAACTTCAATTGATATCAATGATTTAAATGATGATACTTATTTGGATATCGTGACTTGTTCTTCTACAACAAATTCGATTTATGTGTTTCTCAATTTCGGTAATGGAACTTTTACGAATGGAGAAGTTTATTCAACTGGAAATTCTTCTTCACCACAATCTCTGGTGATTGCTGATTTTGATAAAGATTCGTATTTGGATATCATTGTTGGAAATTATCAAATTCCAAATTTAGGTCTTTTCTATGGAAATGGAAGGGGAAAATTCTTGCAACAAATGATCTTTTATACAGAAAAGAGCTGTAATCCATATTTTCTAATTACAAATGATTTTAACTACGATAGTCGATTGGATATTGCCATTGTTAATCATGATTATAATTGCATTGATATTGTTTTAACAAGTAAAGGTTATGGTTATGAAGATCTGATGATTTATGAAACAAGTGGCGTTAATTCTCAACCACATGCGATAACTCTCGGTGATTTCAATAATGATAATTATTTAGATATTGTCGTTGCGAATTATTTCACAAAAGATATCGGAGTTTTTCTCGGAGATGAAAATGGAAATTTTGAGGATCAAAAGACATTTTCAACTGGAATTGATTCGGGACCTTGGGCAATTGTTCATGGTGATTTCAATAATGATAGTCGATTAGATATTGTTGTTACGAATTATCAAAGAAATTCGATCAGTTTATTAATGGGTAGTGAAGAAGAAGAAGAATTTTCCGATCCACAGAGTTATTCAACTGGAAATGGTTCTCTTCCAATTGCAATTGCAACTGATGATTTGGATAATGATTCTCAATTAGATATCGTTGTTGTTTATTATGGAATGAATTCAATTGAAATCTTTTTTAGTCGTGATGATGGTAATTTGTCTTCTCAAATGATTTATTCAACTGGAAACGATTCTCGACCAACTGATGTTGCCATTGCTGATCTCAATAATGATCAAATACTCGATATTCTTGTAACTAATTCGGCTACGAATAACATTGGTGTTTTCTTCGGATATGAAAATGGAACTTTTGCTAATCAAATTACTTTTTCAACTGGTACAAATTCAAATCCAATAAAACTCAATTGTGTTGATTTTAATGGAGATCATTTTCTGGATATTTTTGTTTTTAACAAAAATCTTAATGAATTCGTTATTCTATTTGGATCTAATAATGGAAGTTTCCTATTAACAACGGCTTATTCACTTGGAAATGATTCAAATCCCGAATCATTTGCTATTTCAGACATAAATAATGATGAACAACTTGATGTTATCGTTGCCAATTCGAAATCTAATACAATTGACATTCTTCTTGGTCATGGAAATGGTGATTTGACATTTGAAAGAAGTTATTCAACAGGAATTGATTCTCAACCGATATTCGTTGTTATCAACGATTTGAATAACGATGATCTCATGGATATTATCGTTGTAAATTATGGTGAAAGCAATGTCGGTGTTTTGATTGGTTTTGGAGACGGAAGTTTTGCTTCTCAAATGACTTATTCGACTCGAGATGAGACTTCCAAACCAAAATCTCTCGCTGTCGGTGATTTTAATAACGATAATCGATCAGATATCGTTGTTACGAACTTTCATGGTGATAATATTCAGATTTTTCTTGGAAATGACGAAGAGACATTTTCATATAGTTTCACTTATTCAACAGGAATTGCTTCTGGACCGTCTTCTGTGGCTGTTGGCGATTTAAATAATGATAAATATTTAGATATTGTCGTTGCAAACAATGGAACGAATAACATTGCGATTTTCTATGGTTCTGGTGATGGAAGTTTTTCATCCAAACGAATTTATTCAACTGGTAGAAATTCTCAACCGAATTCCGTCGTGATTGGAGATTTGAACAATGATAATCAATTAGATATTGTTGTTTCTAATTGTAAAAATGACAATATTGGTGTTTTTCTCGGCTTTGCTAATGGAAGTTTTGCTTCTCAAGAGATTTACTCGACTGGAATTAGTTCTCGTCCACAAATGTTGTTCATTGAGGATCTCAATGATGACACTTATCTAGATGTTGCAGTTATCAGTACATATTCGCCTAGTTTGACTATTTTTCTCAACAATGGCAATGGAACATTGTCGCAACGAATTGATCATGATATACGAACCGGTCTTTCTCCTAATAGTTTAGCCATTGGTGATTTAAACAAAGATGGTCATCAGGATCTTGTTGTTACTGCTTATTATGGTCGTAATTTTTATATTTTCCAGGGATTTGGTAATGGAACATTTGAAAGTGTGGCAACTTATTCAACTGGTAGTGGTTCTCGACCATATTCATGCGTGATAACAGATTGGAATCATGATAATAATCTCGATATTATAGTTAGTAATTGTGTTACTGACAATTTAGTATTGTTTAAAGGATATGGTAATGGAACATTTTCTTTGGATCAAATTTCATCAACAGGTGACAATTCATGTCCAAGAGCAATTCGATTTGGATATTTTGACTCCGATGATCTCATTGATATCGTTGTTGCCAATTATGGTACTAATACTCTCGGTGTTTTCTTCAACAATATTTACACAAGTGGCGAACGTCAAACAACATATTCAACTGGATCTTCATCTCATCCACGAGGTATTGTTCTTGCTCATTTCAATAATGATTTATATGCGGATGTCGCTATGACAAATTATGGATCGGATGATCTTAGTATTCTCTTAGGAAATGCCAATGCCACTTTTCCATCACGAATTACATTTTCCACTGGTATTTTGTCAGCTCCAACATCATTGGCTGTTCATGATTTTGATAATGATGGAAAATTGGATGTTGTCGTTACCAATTCTGTTGCTGAAAATATACGTCTGTTTTATGGATATGAAAATGAGAATTTTACCAATTCGAAGACATATTCAACTGGAATTGATTCTTCACCGCAATCGGTGATCATCGGTGATTTTAATCTTGATGAAAAACAGGATATTGTCGTTGTTAATTCTGGTTCGAATGATATATTAACATTTCTCCAATATGATTTGATAGCTTTTCAAAAACAAGTTATGTATTCAACAGGCAAAGGTTCGTCTCCAAATTCAATAGCAATCGGTGATTTAAATAATGATCATCTATTGGATTTTGTTGTTGCTAATCAAAACAGTAACAGTATAGGTGTTTTCCTTGGATTCGGCAATGGTCTCTTTTCTAATCAAACAATCTATTCGACTACACTTCAAGAATATCCAAGATCGGTTCATATTGCCGATATTAATAAAGATCAAAACATGGATGTAATTGTTACTTATCTTTGGAGTTCTAATCTCGCTGTTCTTCTTGGATTTGGTAATGGCACATTATCCAATGAAAGATGTTTTTCATTTCAAAGTGGTGCAGGACCAACTGAAGCAGCTATTGGTGACTTTGATAATGACAGCCATTTAGACATCGTTGTTGCTCTTCAATTTGCTCATGAAATAATTATTTTACAAGGCTTCAGTAATGGAAGTCTTTCTTCTAAAGTGAATTATTTCCTGGGTAGTGATTCATATCCAACTGCAGTGTCTATTGCTGATTTGAATAACGATCATTTCTTAGATATTGTTGTTGCAAGTTATTCAGAGGAAAGTTTATATATATTTCAAGGATATGGAGATGGAACTTTTGTCAATGATGTTATTTTATCAACTGGATTTAATTCACTTCCACGATCACTCGTTATTGTTGATTTCAATAAAGACAACTTGAAAGATATCGCTGTTGCGAATTCTGGTTCAGATAATATTCGAATATTCTTTGGTGATACTGATGGAAGTTTTTCTGATGAAATAACTCTTTTGACTGGAATTGATTCTAGTCCATATGCAATTTCTATTTCGGATTTTAACAATGACAATCAGTTGGATATTGTCGTTGCTAATTATGGTTCAAATACATTAGGAATTCTTCTTGGATGTAATGGTAAAACATTTTTTGGCCAAATCATTTATTCAACCGGTGATTTTTCTCAACCCTACGACATCGCTATTGGCGATGTTAATAATGATCAATATCTGGATGTTCTTATTGTTAATTTTGGGACTGATAATATTGGAGTATTTTTGGGATATATCATGGAAGATTTCATTGGTGTTCCATCTGATTCTATTGGATCATCAGGATCACAATTGACATCTCTTGCAAGTGGAGATTGGAATAATGATACAAAATTAGATGTTGTTGTTACTGATAATTCGACCAACACTATAAGAATCTTATTTGGATCAGGTTATGGAACTTTTAGTAATGAAACAATCTATTTAACTGGTAATAATTCTCATCCGACATCTGTTGTTGTTTCTGATCTAAATAATGATCATTTCTTGGATATTATTGTAACAAATTCTGGTACAAATAATCTTGGAATTTTCTTTGGAAATGCAAATGGAACATTTCAAAATCAACTGACATATTTTACTGGTGTTGGTTCACAACCGATTTCTGTTGTTATTTTAGATTTGAATAATGATACTCATCGAGATATTGCTGTGACCAATTATGGTTCAAGTAATATTGAAATCTTTTTCGGAAATGGTAACGGAAGTTTTAGTAATGATCTCATGTTTAATACTGGTTATCGTTCACATCCATATTCACTCAATATTGGAGATATCAACGATGATCATTTCACGGACATTGTGGCAACTAATGATGAATATGGAAATATAAATATCATCATGAAAACTTGTTAGAATTATACATTTTACATAAAGATTTTCATTTTTTTTTCGAAATCGATTTTGATTGAATATCTTATTTGTATTTATCTGTCGAATTTTAATAAATAGAACGCATTTAAAGTATGAGAAAATATAATAAAATGAGAAATGAATCCAATAGGTAGATCGAGAATTAATCTTCTACTCTTTCTACTAGAAAATAGCTGACATTCATATATTACATGGGATCACCGAATATAAAAACAATAATTTGAGTGAGGGCGTGGAATAGAACAGGAGATCCGCACTCCCCTCATCATCACCCTCAATTCAAAATTTTTCCGATGAAATATGGATCATATTTTCTTTCAATAGCGTGTGGAATTTATATAATTTATTCAATGAAGATACTTTGTTATACTTTATTTCTTCAATTCAGACTGATACAGACAATTTTTAGGTGAGAGTGTGAGTGTCGACTATGACTAACATTATTTACTGACACTGACACTCGTAGAATTAGCGAGTTCTCAATAACCATTTCATGTATCGTATCTTTCCAATCCATGTCTGTTGAAATTCGTTTTTGTATACAGTTGATGGAATAACATAAAACATAAAGCTGAATATTTGTGGGGTATATGATAGAAGATAAGCGATTAATAAAGTATGCCTTTGCCATGATTGATTCAATTTCGTGCAAGCGAAAGCGAACGCGAGTACAGTCTGAGGAAGTAAACTTAATACAATAATTATTGGAGTAATATAAAGTTCTTTTTGCTTTTCGAATTGCTTTTTAAGTACTTCAAAGAAGGATTCTTTTGCCAACTTTGCTCGACTTTGAGCAGCTGTCCAAACAAGGATAGTAATAGAAATAATTTGAATAGAAAACGGTAACAAATAATGAATGAGTACAGATATACGATTGTAATATGCAACACCTGGATGAATCTCGAAATTGACCACACACATTGATTGAACGACAGTATAGTAAATCAGTTCGTGTGTGTGTAAAATATGAATGATCAACACAGTTAATAAACTAAGAGAGAGAGCAAATCGAGATTGTCTAAAACGCGTCATCGTTGGAACAAGAACGATTGCAAGTCGTTCAATAGTGATCCAACTACTTAACCAGTAATTGATACGGGTTAATACTGACAAAAAATAATTGATCATTTTGCATGAGATGACATTCGAGAATTGAACAAGTGTTTCTAAGACAACTTGAAAGATTTTAAGAGCGAGAAAAAGAATACATAATTGATTAATGATTGAGAGAATAAGTAAGTAATTTCCAACACCCAATTTTCGTGGATTTTTACGTTGAAAGGTTAATATCGAGCAAATATTACTGAAAAAACCAATGACAAACAAAACAATAATTAAATTTAAATAAAGTATTTGAACAAAGAATGAATTTGGTGCCATGAGTGAATTAAGAGTGAAACTTAATAATCTCGTACTAAATTGACATAAATGACCATAATGACAATATGGGCAAAGACATAAGAAATTACTGGAATTTCCGAGATCACCTTTCAGACAACGTCCATTTGCGATACAATACGAACATGAATCCAACGATCTATCATAGCCAAAACATTCAACACGACGGAAATTAGATTCACAAATGCATAAATAATTGTCATCATGGAAGCAAATCATATGACGATGTGTCGATAAATTTTGTCGCTGACAAATTGTGTGATATAAAAATACATGAGGTATTGTCGAGTACAAACCTTTTCAAAAAATTTTATATACTTATGTTTTGAAATCAAAGACTTACTTTGATTGACAAGAAATGTGTCTGCTTTCGGACAGAAGGTCGTGTTTTCACTGACTATTGAATTGATACGAGCATTAGTTTCCTTTTTTCTGATATACAGCAGATGAAAACGCGGTTCATTATCGTTGCCATACAATTTCAGTAGACCAAAAACAGGCGCTAACTGTTGTTCATAACTAAAATTCAAACTATTTGGAATAACTTCCGATAAAATTTGATTTCTGATGATCAATTCGAGTGTTACATAATTATAGTCGAAGTATTGCATAATGACAGCATGAATTTTGTCTTCCTGTGTGATATTGAGTCGAATATGAACAGACATTTTTTCATTTTCACAATTGTCACCGTAGAATCGAGAAGTACAAATACATTTGTAGGAATTTATGCTAATCGGATCAGGTATGGGAAGACAAGTTCCGTTGTTTAAACAAACATCAGTATCACATTGATCATATNAATTCGAAGACATATTCAACTGGAATTGATTCTTCACCGCAATCGGTGATCATCGGTGATTTTAATCTTGATGAAAAACAGGATATTGTCGTTGTTAATTCTGGTTCGAATGATATATTAACATTTCTCAAATATGATTTGATAGCTTTTCAAAAACAAGTTATGTATTCAACAGGCAAAGGTTCTTCTCCAAATTCAATAGCGATCGGTGATTTAAATAATGATCATCTATTGGATTTTGTTGTTGCTAATCAAAACAGTATCAGTATAGGTGTTTTCCTTGGATTCGACAATGGTCTCTTTTCTAATCAAACAATCTATTCAACTACACTTCAAGAATATCCAAGATCGGTTCATATTGCCGATATTAATAAAGATCAAAACATGGATGTCATTGTTACTTATCTTTGGAGTTCTAATCTCGCTGTTCTCCTTGGATTTGGTAATGGTACATTATCCAATGAAAGATATTTTTCATTTCAAAGCGATGCAGGACCAACTGAAACAGCTATTGGTGACTTTGACAATGACAGCCATTTAGACATCGTTGTTACTCTTCAATTTGCTCATGAAATAATTGTTTTACAAGGCTTTAGCAATGGAAGTTTTTCTTCTAAAATGAATTATTTCCTGGGTAGTGATTCATATCCAACTGCAGTGTCTATTGCTGATTTGAATAACAATCATTTGTTAGATATTGTTGTTGCAAGTTATTCAGAGGGAAGTTTATATATATTTCAAGGATATGGAAATGGAACTTTTGTCAATGATGTTACTTTATCAACTGGATTTAATTCACTTCCACGATCACTCGTCATTGTTGATTTCAATAAAGATAACTTCAAGGATATCGCTGTTGCGAATTCTGGTTCAGATAATATTCGAATATTCTTTGGTGATACTGATGGAAGTTTTTCTGATGAAATAACTCTCTCGACTGGAATTGATTCTAGTCCATATGCAATTTCGATTTCGGATTTTAACAATGACAATCAGTTGGATATTGTCGTTGCTAATTATGGTTCAAATACATTAGGAATTCTTCTTGGATGTAACGGTAAAACATTTTTTGACCAAATCATTTATTCAACTGGTGATTTTTCTCAACCCTACGACGTCGCTATTGGCGATGTTAATAACGATCAATATCTAGATGTTCTTATTGTTAATTTAGGGACTGATAATATTGGTGTATTTTTGGGATATATCATGGAAGATTTCATTGGTGTTCCATCTAATTCTCTTGGATCATCAGGATCACAATTGGCATCGCTTGCAAGTGGAGATTGGAATAATGATACAAAATTAAATGTTGTTGTTACTGATAATTCGACCAACACTATGAGAATCTTATTTGGAACAGGTTATGGAACTTTTAGTAATGAAACAATCTATTCAACTGGTAATAATTCTCATTCAACATCTGTTGTTGTTTCGGATCTAAACAATGATCATTTCTTGGATATCATTGTCGCAAATTCTGGTACAAATAATCTTGGAATTTTCTTTGGAAATGCAAATGGGACATTTCAAAATCAACTGACATATTTTACTGGTGTTGGTTCACAACCAATTTCTGTTGTTATTTTAGATTTGAATAATGATACTCATCGAGATATTGCTGTGACCAATTATGATTCAAGTAATATTGAAATCTTTTTCGGAAATGGTAACGGAAGTTTTAGTAATGATCTCACGTTTAATACTGGTTATCGTTCACATCCATATTCACTCAATATTGAAGATATCAATAATGATCATTTCACAGACATTGTGGCAACTAATGATGAATATGGAAATATAAATATTATCATGAAAACTTGTTAAAATTATACATTTTACATAAAGATTTTCATTTTTTTCGAAATCAATTTTGATTGAATATCTTCTCTGTATTTATCTGTCAAATTTTAATAAATAGAACGCCTTTAAAGTATGAGCAAATATAATCAAATAGAAAAAGAATACTCCAAGCAGGTAAATATTCAAGAAACGATGTTTTTATGTCATCAAAAGTACTTGTTGAATGGGCATGTTTACTTTCTCAATGACATCTTATACATCGGGAAAAGAATTCAATAGTTGTATCGAGAATTAATCTTACTCGTCCTACTGCTAACTAGCTGACATTCATATATTACATGGGATCACTGAATATAAAAACAATGATTTGAGTGTGAGTGTGGAATAGAACAGGAGATCCGAACACCCTCATCATCACCCTCAATTCAAAATTTTTCCGATGAAATATGGATCATATTTTCTTTCAATAGCGTGTGGAATTTATATAAATTATTCACTGAATATACACGACCTTCCTACACGTTGATCTATATGTTCTGTAGCATGCGTCAGTCACTCAGACGCAGCATTATTCATTATGATAGATTTGTTATACTTTATTTCTTCAATTCAGACTGATACAGACAATTTTTAGGTAAGGGTGTGAATGTCGGCTATGATTAACATTATTTACTAACACTGACACTCGTAGAATTAGCGATTTCTCAATAACCATTTCATGTATCGTATCTTTCCAATCCATGTCTGTTGAAATTCATTTTTGTATACAGTTGATGGAATAACATAAAATATAAAGCCAAGTATTTGTGGGGTATATGATAGGAGATAAGCGATTAATAAGGTGTGCCTTTGCCATGATTGGTTCAATTTCGTGCAAGCGAAAGCGAACGCAAGTACAGTCTGAAGAAGTAAACATAATACAATAATTATTGGCGTAATATAAAGTTCTTTTTGCTTTTCGAATTGCTTTTTAAGTACTTCAACGAAGGATTCTTTTGCCAACTTTGCTCGACTTTGAGAAGCTGTCCAAACAAGCATAGTAATAGAAATAATTTGAATAGAAAATGGTAACAAATAATGAATGAGTACAGATATACGATTATAATATGCAACACCTGGATGAATCTCGAAATTCACCACACACATTGATTGAACGACAGTATAGTAAATCAGTTCGTGTGTGTGTAAAATATGAATGATCAACACAGTTAATAAACTAAGAGAGAGAGCAAATCGAGGTTGTCTAAAACGCGTCATCGTCGGAACAAGAACGATTGCAAGTCGTTCAATAGTGATCCAACTACTTAACCAGTAATTGATACGGGTTAATACTGGCAAAAAGTAATTGATCATTTTGCATGAGATGACATTCGAGAATTGAACGAGTGTTTCTAAGACAACTTGAAAGATTTTAAGAGCGAGAAAAAGAATACATAATTGATTAATGATTGAGAGAATAAGTAAATAATTTCCAACACCCAATTTTCGTGGATTGTTACGTTGAAAGGTTAATATCGAGCAAATATTACTGAAAAAACCAATGACAAACAAAACAATAATTAAATTTAAATAAAGTATTCGAACAAAGAATGAATTTGGTGCAATGAGTGAATTAAGAGTGAAACTTAATAATCTTGTATTAAATTGACATAAATGACCATAATGACAATATGGACAAAGACATAATAAATTACTGGAATTTCCGAGATCACCTTTCAGACAACGTCCATTTGCGAGACAATAAGAACATGAATCCAACGATCTATCATAGCCAAAACATTCAACACGACGGAAATTAGATTCACAAATGCATAAATAATTGTCATCATGAAAGCAAATCATATGACGATGTGTCGATAAATTTTGTCGCTGACAAATTGTGTGATATAAAAATATATGAGGTATCGTCGAGTACAAACCTTTTCAAAAAATTCTATATATTTATGTTTTGAAATCAAAGATTTAATTTGATTGACAAGAAATGTGTCTGCTTTCGGACAGAAGGTCGTGTTTTCACTGACTATTGAATTGATACGAGCATTCGTTTCCTTTTTTCTGATATACAGCAGATGAAAACGTGGTTCATTATCGTTGCCATACAATTTCAGTAGACCAAACACAGGCGCTAACTGTTGTCCATAACTAAAATTCAAACTATTTGGAATAACTTCCGATAAAAATTGATTTCTGATGATCAATTCGAGTGTTACATAATTATAGTCGAAATATTGCATAATGACAGCATGAATTTTGTCTTCCTGTGTGATATTGAGTAGAATATGAACAGACATTTTTTCATTTTCACAATTGTCACCGTAGAATCGAGAAGTACAAATACATTTGTAGGAATTTATGCTAATCGGATCAGGTATGGGAAGACAAGTTCCGTTGTTTAAACATACATCAGTATCACATTGATCATATNGTGTTACATAATTATAGTCGAAGTATTGCATAATGACAGCATGAATTTTGTCTTCCTGTGTGATATTGAGTCGAATATGAACAGACATTTTTTCATTTTCACAATTGTCACCGTAGAATCGAGAAGTACAAATACATTTGTAGGAATTTATGCTAATCGGATCAGGTATGGGAAGACAAGTTCCGTTGTTTAAACAAACATCAGTATCACATTGATCATATTTTAAATGGCAACTTGGACCAAAATAACCAAAAGGGCAAATACAGAATGGATGCTGAGTATCAAGAACTACCGGTCGATTTGTAGGTTTGCAAATTGAATGTGAGGAACAAAATTGTGAACACTGCTCGTCATATTGATCACAATGTTCGCCATAGAATCCATCAAAACATGAACATATATAAGAAGTATTTGAATTAAGTACACGTTGACATTTAGTTCTATTCGATTGACATGGATTACTGGCACATGGATCATTTAAATCTGTAGGAAATCGTAAGATCTTGGCTAAACGAAACGAAGGTAGAAAATCAAAATAGATTGGGTAGCGCCAAAGACCAATTAGACGAATGTTTAAGTTTCTACTGAGCTCATACGCTTCGAAATAGACTGAATATGGATGTTCATAGATAATTGCAGCACGTTGGAGACGACGAGCTTTTTTATAGTCCAAAAAAACATCTGATCGGGGATAAAGAAGATGAATTTTATGTCTCGTATAGAAATCTTTCTGTTCAAGAGATGGAAAAACGTGAACTTCATGTTGATCAAGTAAAAGATTGTTTTTAAACATAAATTTAACAAGTAATTTGATAGTAACAGTATTCTGTGCGGAACTTGGATAGTTATCAAGATTAATATGAGTAAAAACAGTAATACGATCATTCATGTATTCACAGTTGGCTCCATAATACGATGGCGGACAAAAGCAGATATACTTGTTCGACATATGATCAGCAAATTGAACACCTTTATTGCAAATAAACGGGTAATGTACAGTTTCATCATCATCATGAAAAACTTGTTTGTCAATGAGAGAGATATTTTCAGATGAAAACGATTGTAACAACGAGGATGACGATAAAAGTGACTCTACTGGTGGAAATTCAGGTAAGAGACCAATGGTTTTTACTTGGTTGAATACACTGACTTTTTCAAGGCGGTAACTGATCGCCTTGAATATGTCATTACGGTGACTAGAACACCAATATTCGTCTTCTCCATTTGGACATTCTATTATTCCATTACACCGAGCTCCAATGATACATGATTTGTTCAGACAGATCGCATCGTACTTATTTGGACACTCATTTGTACCATTACCAATCAAAGAACAAATAGGACTATCATCAAATGGATTTTGACAACGCTTGTTGCACATTATTGTATAATAAATGCATTCCCCTTCTGTTTCGCAATACACATCGAATCCTTTTTGTTTGTTTACACAGCCGGTCACTATGTTGCGTTCGTCCAAGTTATTAAAACAATCTTGAACACCATCTCCAATTTGCTTTAAATCAATGCAGGGTCGATTTTGAATAATGTTTAATGGATCGAGTACATTCGCTAACAAACATGGAAATTCATGCGTAATATTACAAATATTAGAGAAAGGTTGATGCTTATAATGATTGAAGCATCTCTCTTTTACTTTACTGATATCACCGAGTACAATTTGATTATGAAGTGACAATTGATCGATTATCATAAAAATGCCTTGTTCATCGCTCGCATCTGAACAATCCCATGAACCATCGCACACCCATTCGGGATTGATACATTGACCTGATAAACACTTATATTCGTTATCAGTACAAACCCATTGCTGACAAAAACTCGTGTATTCATCTTTGAATGATACTGTATCCCAAAAAGTGTTACAATATTCACGGAATTGAATGCGCCATTCTTCCGTACTTCTTTCTGATTTTGTGATTGTGTTTGTAATCTTGTGGATGTCGAAAGTACGTGTCCATGAGTCGATTATATGTTTGCGGATTAGTTGACAACCCGAATCCGTCGGCTGATTACATAGTAGATTATGAATGAGCAAAGTTTCTTTTGTTATACCATCAATAGTAATACTTTCGTCAAGAAAATTTGGACAATTAATCACTGCATCACCAACTTTCGATACTTGAATGCATGTGGGAAATTCATTTGAACAACGAAGACGAAACTGCTTCTGGTTTTCACATAGATTTTTATTGCCTAAATAATTTGCTATATTCCTGTGCTCGTCTAAACTGTCAAAAGCATCAGTAATGCCATCTAGAAGTCGATAAGCTGAAATACATTGCATTGTAGGTGGGAAAATATTATAAAAGTGGTAAGGTTGACCAGTAAATGTTCGTTCACTTGATGACCAACAGTTATAATCATATTGACTTGCGAATGGTGATACATAATGATCAGCTCGTTCACAAAATTGAGCTTCCCACGAAACCCAATCGAGTTGAGCATTATTGGATATAATAACAGATTTATTAACGGATAATGTTGCTTGATAACCACGACACTTGATATTTCCTGATAAATGATATTCGTCAGGGAGTTTACCTCTGCCATCCTTTGACCAATCACGATTACGATAGTACACCGTGATGATATAAGGACGGATCAACGGTTGTGCTGGATAGACAATGCGATCTGATGGACAGTGTTGCTGAATTAGTTCAGAACAGTTGTATGAACAAGGGCAGTATCGTTCGAAACCCTTCGATAAAGCACATTTAACCAAATACTGGCAGTACTCTGTTTTATTTGTACGATTAATNCATCATCATGAAAAACTTGTTTGTCAATGAGAGAGATATTTTCAGATGAAAACGATTGTAATAAAGAGGATGACGATAAAAGTGACTCTGCTGGTGGAAATTCAGGTAAGAGACCAATGGTTTTTACTTGATTAAATACACTGAGTTTTTCAAGGCGGTAATCAATCGCCTTGAATATGTCATTACGGTGACTAGAACACCAATATTCGTCTTCTCCATTTGGACATTCGATTATTCCATTACACCGAGCTCCAATGATACATGATTTGTTCAGACAAATAGCATCGTACTTATTTGGACACTCATTTGTACCATTACCAATCAAAGAACAAATAGGACTATCATCAAATGGATTTGGACAACGCTTGTTGCACATCATTGTATAATAAATGCATTCCCCTTCTGTTTGGCAATACACATCGAATCCTTTTTGTTTGTTTACACAGCCGGTTACTATGTTGCGTTCGTCCAAGTTATTAAAACAATCTTGAACACCATCTCCAATCTGCTTTAAATCAATGCAGGGTCGATTTTGAATAATGTTTAATGGATCGAGTACATTCGCTAACAAACATGGAAATTCATGTGTAATATTACAAATATTAGAGAAAGGTTGATGCTTATAATGATTGAAGCATCCCTCTTTTATTTTACTGATATCACCCAGTACAATTTGATTATGAAGTGACAATTGTTCGATTATCATAAAAATGCCTTGTTCATCGCTCGCATCTGAACAATCCCATGAACCATCGCACACCCATTCGGGATTGATACATTGACCTGATAAACACTTATATTCGTTATTAGTGCAAACCCATTGCTGACAAAAACTCGTGTCTTCATCTTTGAATGATACCATATCCCAAAAAGTGTTACAATATTCACGGAATTGAATGCGCCATTCTTTCGTACTTCTTTCTGATTTTGTGATTGTGTTTGTAATCTTGTGGATGTCGGAAGTATGTGTCCATGAGTCGATTATATGTTTGCGGATTAGTTGACAACCCGAATCCGTCGGTTGATTACATAGTAGATTATGTATGAGCAAAGTTTCTTTTGTTATATCATGAATAGTAATACTTTCGTCAAGAAAATTTGGACAATTAATCATTGCATCACCAACTTTCGATACTTGAATGCATGTAGGAAATTCGTTTGAACAACGAAGACGAAACTGCTTTTGGTTTTCACATAGATTTTTATCGCCTAAATAATTTGCTATATCCCTGTGCTCGTCTAAACTGTCAAAAGCATCAGTAATGCCATCTAGAAGTCGATAAGCTGAAATACATTGCATTGTAGGTGGCAAAATATTATAAAAATGGTAAGATTGACCAGTAAATGTTCGTCCACTTGATGACCAACAGTTATAATCATATTGACTTGCGAATGGTGATACATAAT